GGCGACGAAGACGATTTTTTGATCATTGACGACTTGATGGATGCGACCACGGTGACGACGACCAACAGCAGCGATGCAGCGTCAAACGGAACGGCCTCGATCACGCCCGCAACGACGACAGCCCCGACCAAGGGCAAGTCGTCAGGCGCATCGTTGGCGTCGGTGGGTCTTGTCGTGACGACGCTGACCGCGCTGCTCGTGCTGTAAAGGGTCATTGCACCCATTGATAACGAAATGCATGTGCAAAACCTGGCCGTGTATCATTGTTTTGGGAGGTTTATTCGCTTACAGCCTGTGTTGCGCATGCTCGGATGGTCCACGTTCTGGTGAACGCAGTGTTAGCAATCGAATCTCAAAGGTCAATTTGAGTAATCGACCAGATATCAAGTTGAGCCTCACCCAGACGTAGCACCAGGAATGTAGCGAGATGCGCAGGTGCGTTGCACCATATCATGCACGGGGGACTGACAGAAACGCACTTGTTCGGCGCCTTTCCGCCTACATTTTGACGAATCTGGTTTCTTGTACGATAGGTATGCCAAGTGTATCTTGACGACCAGCGACGGGGGCACCAGCGGGTGGTATGCCACCCTGTTTTATGGCGGTTTGATCTTTCACACAAAAATGGCGTGAAATCGAAAAGTTATATATTTGAATTTTCGACAGCCAAGGCCGTCGCTAAGACGGACAAGCTAGCGCTATAGTCTGCGGCAATCTTGCAATGAAGCATCAATGCTCTGCACAACCAACAATGCAAGCCGCTGGAATTGCCTGCACGCTGCAAACAAGGAAGTGGGGAACCGTCTACGGAGGCGGTGACGACGTGGCGTCATTTCTTTTCCTTTGCTAAACCTTCTTAGCTGTAGGCGTCGGCATTGGCGTCCACAATCTCTTCTCTGGCGGACTGGAGTTTGTACCTACACAGTATGTCGCACAATCCTTTTCATTTTCCGACTCTAGATGACAAAAATCCCGTTCATTTTAAAATTCACTGTGGTCGTCACATGTGCTCGCTTCGTACATGCTTTGTGGGTTTGATCACCCTTGTT